CAGGGTAAGTTTCTGAAGGTACAGCCATGAACTATATAATAATGGTTTGATAAAAAATGGACCATTTGAGCCCAGTGCAGTGGTGCATGCCTGTAATTCCAGCATCTTGGGAGGCTGAGACAGGAGGATCATAAATTCAAAGCCAGACTTAGAAACTTAGGCTCTAAGCAACTTAGCAAGACCCTGTCTCAAAATAAAGTATAAAAAATGGCTGGGGATGTGGCTCAGTGGTTAGGTTTCCCTGGATTCAATCTCTGGGACAACACCCCCCCGCCCCCCCCCCAAAAAAAGGGAGCATATGTACTACAATGGTTCCAGAAGATTATATTGCCTAGTGACACTATATGGCTTTCTAAATTTGTGTAAGTATGCTCTATGATGTTCACACAATGACAAAATCACCTCATGAAACGTTTCCCAGAACCTGTCCCTGTCATTAAGCAATATAGGACTGTGCACTCAAAACAGTGAAGGGATAGATGTTGAACACTGGAGAGTACTCTAATGGTTAGGGAAAACATTGACTGGGAGACACCATTTTTCTAGAGAGATTTTAGGACTAACTGGAAAATGAGTGTCAGTTCTCACTGGAGGCCATGGGTGTGGCGAGAGTAAATGGTGTCCAGAGCCATGTAATTATTTGTACTCTCTTTCTTTACTAACCGCAGAATTTTCCCCATATTGAATAATTATATAGTAAAAATATAATGCATTCTGTATTTGACATCCAACACATCTAAAGACAGTAACTCAGAATACAATTAAAATTGTGAAAATTAATCTGTGACTGGCATGTTATAAGCATCCCCATAGACTAGTGCGTAGGGTGTAATCCCTCTTGTACCCCTCTTGCTTCACCTTTACTAGTGACAATGGGCTCCCTGCTCAGGTCCATGGGGGAAGGTGAAAGTGTCTGGATGGTTGCCACACTCACACACAGCAACCCACTCAAGTTTTGGCAGCTGTTCTTTATACTCCATCGGGCCAGAGCCAGGAGCAAGGGACTACTTCTTCCAGTGAGGGGGAGCAAGACACTCCAAAATTATCCTTCAGTGAGGGGGCCAAGTGGCACAAATTGTCTCATGAGAATTAGCTTGGAGCTGCTTTTTGTTTTTGAACGTATCTTGTCACTGTATATTGATTTCTGACTGACTTTCCACTCTGCTCCATCATATCCCCTAAACTTTGTTTTCTGTTGGAATCTATTCTGATCTCTCCTTTTTCATGAATTGTCACCTCATCATGGCAATATCCAAACCAAACCCTCAGTTTGAAGCAAAGAAAAGGTAGGGAGTTCCAAATGGATCCTTCAGAGAATAATGAACTGGTGACAGAATGGAAAGCTGAATGGAAGGGTAGTTGGATGCATCATTTTACTATTTTCTTCCTAAGTGTCTAAAAAATACACATGTGGGACTAGAGAATGAGGGGTGGGGAAGGGTGACACAGAGGAGGTGTGAACATTGTCCCACATAAATTCTCTCCTGATTATTCCAGCTAGCTTCCCTCATCCCTTTTTGCAGTCTGCATATTGTCCCTCATATATAAAAGATATTACATGTATTAAATATATATTTAAACATACACATCATATATGTTTTAACATACACACGTGTGTATATTGGTACTGGAGATTGAACCCAGGAGTGATATGCCACTGAGCAGTATAACCCCAGCCCTTTTATTTGACTTTGAGATAGGGTCTTGCAAAGTTGCCAGCATGAGCCTCTAACTTGTGTGCCTCCTGCCTCAGCCTCCTGAGTTGCTGGGATTACAGGCATGCGCTCAAGCACCTGGCCCCTCCTATTTTTATTTTTCAACTTCTATTATTATTCTGGTTATCTTCTGTTACAACCTGTCTCTTAACGGCTGAGTGAATCAAAGATTACTCCTGCGTCTGGCTTCTAGTCACCATAGCCCAGCTGTCTCAGCTATCCCCAGGTTCTTATGCCTGTTCTTATTTCAGCTTTCTTTATTTGGTCTCCTTCATCTTTGGCTCCCTGATAGCCCTCTTTGTATTCTTGCTGGAAATGYATGTCTTTTGAAAATGATCAAAAGATTGTTTTCTTTTCCTGGTACTCTCTATATGGAATCATACTCCAGCTTTTTTCCAGCTCCTGATACAATATAGTTTATACTAATGATGGCTCTGGTCCCGATTGAGGAGAATTTTGGGCAAAGGAAATAGATCTGAAGAGAAGAAAAAGTATTGAGGCTGGATGCAGAGGAAGCTAAAGGAGAATCCAAGGATCTTGGGATGGAAGATGGCAAAAAGGGTGACTCCCTTGTGCTTGAAATATCCTAAACTCTGTCTCATTTACATCAAACGCTGACAGCATCAGTGACCAGAAGCATGGAGAAGAGTCCTAACAGTTTAATGTCTGTAGGCATGCGAATACTCTTTCTTGGAAATAGCTTCCATAAAATCTTATCCCTTTCAATTCATCCCTGCTGAAGTCCATTCAAGACCACTTAATTGAACACAACAGAAAATCTTCCGTTTGAACCTCTGCATCTCTGTATTATGCTCTGTGCCCTATGAGGTTGACTTGTTTGCAAGGCACTATGGATGGTTTGGGTTTGCACAGTAAGATCCTGACACAGATCAAAGAATAGAAGGCTGGTGAGATTATTTCCTTGGCCTCTCCTGTTGGGTCCTATCAAGGTCACAGCTCTTACTGAGTTTTAGTTTCCTCTTTAGTTTCTGGTAACTCCTCCTTTTTCTTCAGCCTAGGTAATAGCATTGTCAATACCCAGCTACAGGGTATTACCACATCATTTCTCGCTTTGTTCAAATCCTGCCCACCCCTTACTCAATACTCCCTTTGTTAAACTTGAATAAACAATTATTCAGTGTGCAACTATCTGCTTTCTTCTAGAATCCTAACATATAGGATGGGAGGTTAGGTAAGGTAAAGTAGAAGAAGAGAATGTACATATTGAGTTTTTCTTGTTTTGTGGTGCTGGGGATTGAACCCAGGGCTTTGTGGTGCTGGGGATTGAACCCAGGGCTTTGTGCATGCAAGGCAAGCACTCTACCAACTGAGCTATAACCCCAGTCTGAGATTTTCTTAGAATTATAGAAACAAAGCTTTGAAGCCCAGAGAGCTAAGTGATTAAACTATTCAACTTTTCTGAATGTCAGTTTTCCTAGACTTCCTACAGAGATAATATCTACCTGTCAGGTTTGTGAAAGTGAAATAATGTATGTGAAGACAATAGCGCAGGGCCTGGCATGCAGCAGGTGTTCAATGTAGAAACTATATCATTATTATTATGCACTAGTCACTGTTCTAAATATATTACATGTTCTTGAATTTAATACTGAAGAGAAGACATAACAGAATGATGCTTCAGGGAATTTTTTTCCTGTATTAGACATATCTATGTATCATCTTTCTTCCACTCTCTTTATATATCTATCAGTCCATTCACCCATCTATCATTTATTATGCTTTGTTTTGTTCTGGGGATTGAACCCCGGGGCCCTCTACCACTGAGCCACATCCCCTTCCTGCTTTTTTTAAAACATATTTTTAGTTCTAGATGGACACAATACCTTTATTTTCTCTATTTAGTTTTTTTATTTTATGTGATGCTGGGGATTATACCCAGCGCCTCACACATGCTAGGCAAGCATTCTACCCTTGAGCTACAACCACAGTCTCCCTGTTCTTTTTATTTTGAGAAAGGGTCTTGCTGAATTGCTGAGACTGGCTTCCAATTTGTGATCRTCCTGCCTCAGTCTCCTAAATTGCTGGGGCTACAGGCATGTGCCACCAGGCCTGGCAATTATGTATCTATTTTTGCCTGGAGCTTGTCTTATCAGTGATGCCTGGGTGTATAAACTAGGGTCAAAATAATTGTATTTCTTACTTTGAGGGGAGCAGAAGATGAAAAKGATGCAAAGAGTGAGTCCGTGTCATGTTAAGGCTATTTGAACTTCCACACTGAAAATCAGAGAARTGGCAAATTGGTGAGGGTGAGTTAGTTCCCAAAGTCATAGCAAGTGTCTACTGGGGTAGAGAGGTCCTCCTAGGTAGGTCCATTACAGATCTCTCAGGCCCATAAAGCAATAAAGACCATGAAGGTAAAACCAGCAACTCTTCTCTTTCCTCATTTCTCCAGTAAGCCTCCTCCTTATCATTGGTAAGAGGCTGGGCAACAGTCATCCTTCTCAGTATCAGGTAACCTGCTTTTATTTGTGTCCTTAGCAGTTGTTAAGGAAAGCAACACATTGTAGGTATTACTCAAACTGAAGGACAAATGATAGGGCAGGTAGAAGGAAAGCCACTAAGTCATGCAGGAGCCAATTAATCATTGTAGGTATTTTTATCTGGTGTCTTTTTACCTCTCCAAACACACTGCTTTTTAATCCCTCAGCTTGAAGCAGCCAGAAGGGAATAGGCTCAAAGAACACCACTAGTGTTCCTGAAGCCTTACAGGGCTGTGTGAAAAATAGGGACTTGGAGGAAACAAGCTCCATTTAGCCTGATGATCTCATGAGTCTGCTGGGCACATAGTGGCTGATAGTAGGTACTGGGAGTGGGGTGAGGTAGGTAGTGTAGAAAAATAATCAATCCCCCTGGCTTCTATTTTTAAACCTCTTTCCTTCTAAATGCTGGGAGTGCTGGCTCATTTTCTGGACTCCTGTGGGTAAGGTGGGAGGGGACAGTTGGAATCTCAGCAATGCTACCCTGTGTGGGGTCATGGCTTGCAACTTACAGAATGGCTAGAGGCTCTGATTCCAGAAGAAAACACTGCATCTAACACAAATCCCTCCCATTCCCCATTCTACCACTACCTGTTCCAGGCAGCTTCTAGGCAATTGGGAGAAATGAAATACAATATGGCTGAAGGGGAAGGGTCAAATAAGACATTTTATTGCACACAGTAGCATAAGTGTGACAAGAATCAAAATTGGAGTAATGATCTTTGTACCAATTCTCCAATCAACAAGCACTCAACTTAAAGAATAAAATTGTAATGACAGGGGAAAAACAAACAAACAAACATAGGCACTCAACCTAAACCTCCTTTTCTCAGTTCTGAGTGCGAAATGGGATCTTATGTAGGTAAAAGCTGAGGTCCAGCGCATACGAATGCATAGTGAATATAATTTAGTCTCAGTAAAAAAAAGTCCGAGGGTCAGTCATAGCAAGTATCTACTGGGGGTAGAGAGGTCCTTCTAGGTAGGTCCATTAGAGATCTCTCAGGCCCATAAAGCAATAAAGGCCATGAAGGCAAAACCAACAGCTACACAGCTCCACTTGGTCAAAGGGGCCTCAGGACCAGCTAGCTCCCGGGGCAGAATTTCCAGGAAGGTAACATATAGGAATGTGCCAGCTGCCACACCCTCTAATACAGCCTGGGCTAAGCCTTGTCCCCCTTCAGGATCCCCTCCAGCCACAGTCAGCCCTAGGGCTAGTCCCAAAGGGGACATGAGAGCTAATAMTAATATGGAGAACAGGGCCCATCGTGATCCAGTGCCTATCTTCACCAGACGCAGTCCTATGCCAAAAACTACAAGCCCCTTATGAGCCAAGACAGCAAGACAGAGCTGTATGGTAGCTGCAATTGTTGGCTGTAGTCCCACAGCTAGACCTTCAAACACGGAATGAAAGGAGAGTGAAAGCAAGAGGACAAGGGCTCGAAGGGGACCCCGTGAGGGTGAGGGCAGAGGTTCATGGCTGTGGAATCCAAAGATGTGAGTCCCACCCCATTCCTCTTTCTGAACTGTTGATCCTTCAGCAGCCCCAGGACAGCACTGCAATGCCAGCGACTCCAAAAGGAAGACAGAGAAAAAACCCAGGGAGATGATGAGCTCTCCATAGGGATACTCCACCTAGGGACATAAAGAGGGCTGTGAGACAGGAAGGGAAGGGAAGGGAAGGGAAGACACTTCATTGGATGGACATGGATTCAGAGATTGAAGAGAATGGGAAAATTCTATAATGTAAAATAAGGGTATGGAGATGAAGTCATGGGTTGACATGCAACAGTGAGAATATCAGAGGGGCTCAGGGACACAATAGCAAGAGAGTTAGAAATATGGGAAGATAATATGAAGTATGTTGGAGGGTCCTGGAAAGGCAGTAAATAGTAAAGCAAGAGGAGCTTTTCCTGGTGTTCTGTAAGCACAAGAAGACTGTGGTGGTTCCTCCTTTCCTCTACACTGAGCTGGGGAGAAGGGATTCCTGGTATTCCTCATATATTCTTCTCTAAAGGGTCTGGGTGTAAAGGACTCTCTGGGTCTCCTCAGTCTCCAGATAGGGGCTGGTGGGAGATTACTTACAAGAGCTGAATCAGTAGCATCAGAGGAATTTCCCTTAATTTCTGTCCTGTTCTAGGGGGAAAGAAACAGAAATTAGATGGGAGACAGAGCAGTTCAGTGTCCTGTCCTGTCCCTTCAGCAATATCTCTTTCCTTAAAGCCCAGTCTGAGGGACTCTCATCATGCCCCACATTGAGCTATCTTCCCTGCTGTCCCACTCATGCCTGTGGCTCCATCACTCTCCCTGCTTTCTTCTCTTGGTGCTAGTTGTCATTCTTGCCTTGCAGCTCTGCAGTTTGGCATTCAGCTGCTCACCTGCACCTCAAACTTCTGGATTTCGGATTCAATTCCCTCCAGGGCTTCGGCAGTCATATGCATCAACCCCGCTCCCAGGAAGACACCAGCTGAAATGCAGCCCAGGAGGCTGAGGACCCGGCGGTGACRACCTAATAACCAAGAAGTGACAATGCAGTTGGCAATGAGGGGGTAAACAAAGATGACTAAGGAGCAACAGGCAGCACCCAAAGACCTGAGCTTGGGCATGGTGAAACAATCAAGAGCAAGGAATAGGACAGGGTTGAGGTGAGAGGTAAAGGGATGAAGATGGGGTGGGGTTATACCTGTAGCTTCAGTAATCTGGAACCACTTGAAGCAGATGGGAATAAGGCCACAGGTCAGAGTGATAGCCAACAGGGCGAACAGGCAGCCAATTTTTACTCCCAGGAGTGACTCCATCTCTGGGGTGCAGGATAAGCAGAGGCCTCMGAATGGCAAATGGAGCAAGAGTGGTATCTTAGTGGTCAAAGTTGGAGAGTGACCACTTGCTAGAGTTTCAGGAGCCTGTTGCTTTCTTTCCGTTCTGGGTTGACTCTGCTTGCGCAGCTCTGCCTAGCTAGCTAGGGCCCTGCCCCAGATACCTGCCCTCCCACTATGTGGAGGCCCCTCCCCTGGCTCATGCTTTCCTGAGCTTCAAAACCAGAAACTCCGGACTCCCTGCCTGCATAGCTCAGTGCTGTCTTCTCCTCCTCTTCAATGCCATGACTAATCCAAGAACTCTGGATAGCCTTAGTTCATCCCTTGGGTTGCTCTAACCCCAAACAGGGCAATCTATGGTACTTACTTCCTAGCTATTTTGTGTTGGGGACATTCTGCTCCTGCCTAACTCAGTATATTTGATCTAAGCCTTCCATACCCTCTGCACCTCAACTCAAATTTTCTAAGTTGCTAGGTTGATATCTGAACCAGAACCCTTTCAGAGGGGATTTGGGGCCACAGGGGCAAAGAGGTGGGGCTGAGGGGTAGTGCTGTTATGCATTCTGTGGGAACTGGTAGGAGAGGGGACTCCCCTTTCCTGTAACTCCAGAAAAATAGCTTCAGGCATGGAAATGTCTAGTGGGGAGTGGACATTTCTAGTTTTACAACACTGATACTGCCCTGACTTCTGACTGTGCCTGTTTCTGTAACTAAGTCTGCATAACAAAATTAACTTATTTTTCTCACTAAGAAAGTAAACCACTTATCCTCCCTAAAGTTAAGAAAAACAGAACCAAACAAACAAAAGAACTAGGCATAGCACATTTTTGCTTTCCTCTGGTCAAGGTGACCCATGTCCCTGTTGCCATTTCTATAAGCACTTTTATTATTTTTTTCAGAGGGCAATTTACAAGTTTGATTTGCAGACCCCTTGATAGATCAATGATCAGATGTCTACTACAGTATCAAGTCTGAAAAACCTGTCTTTTAATCAGTTTCCTCCACTGGACTCCTGCTTATATAATTATGCTTCCTGGGGTAGGGAGATTTGAGGTATATCCCTGCCTTTTTGGTTAGTCCTTCTATTAAATTTTCTCTATTCCAAGCATTAGTGTTCAGTGATTGGTTGGCTTCTGTGCATAGGGCACACAAATCTTATTTTGGGTTTGGTAATGTTTCTTTATATGAACTGTGGGAGAGGGACTTTCAAGTTTTAAGGTGAATAAAGTTGTTCTAGCTACAAAAACCCTAAGGCCTAGGACAAAACAGAAATGAATCMAACAAGGATGATGCCTGGGTACACAGGGGTGGAAATGCAAGACTTAGTACTGACAGGGATCAATCTTGAGGATAATGTGTGGGGCAAACTCTGGGATAGTTGATGGACCCTGGGAAAGATGGAAGGGAAAGAGATATATTAAAAAATGAAGTTAGGTAGCTGTTGATTCCCCTATTCAGGTGGCCCACATAACTATCCTGAGACCTGTTGAGCCAGTTCTCAAGAGAGCTGAGGGTGGTTTTCCCCACTATTTCAGATAATCTTCCTGGGAATTCCTGGTTTTCAGCAGAAGCAGCAATATTCTTACAGGGGATGGTGAGCTTAAGATTTGTGTGCTAAGCTTGGCATGGAAAAATCTCAGGATTCTCTTCACTACAGGATAGGTCAGGACAATAGACCCCTATTCTTTTAAGAATCACAAAACCCACTACCATTCTTTAAAATTTATTATTATTAAAACTTCAAACAAATGCAGAAACGCAGGCGTACTGGCATTCTCTTACTGGATACCAGGTAGCTTCAGCCTTGGCAGGTATGATGGAAGAAAGTAATTGTTACATATCCTTGTCAACTCTTATGGAATTCTCAGGGGGATCTTGAGCAGGGGAGAGAGGAAATTCAGATGGAGTGATCACAGGTAAAAGATCTCCCCAGGAGCTGACACGGGCACAACGATACAAATCCCTATTGAATAAAAAGAGATGTCAATGTACGCTGCAGGTTTTGCCACATTTTACTAATTTTGGTCACATCTTTTATACCTGCCATGCCGGCGGGCTGTGATGACAGCATGCTGCATATGCCCATCTGAACAGCACAGGTGACAATGCACATGGCGAGGCCGTTTAAGGACAGGTTGAGTAATTCGTGGCCAACGATTAACCTCCTCTGGAGACCCCCGGGCAAGAATCACCATGGAGAACTTTTCCTCCTTTGGCTTCTTGTTCTAAGATAAGAATATACAGACTGTTTGGAGGAAAAAGATAAGAGGAAAAACTTTTAGTCCTCCCTCCCCCTACATTCCTGAAGTCCCTATAATGCAGGCTCTAATATCTCCAGGCTATTCTATGGATTCTCAAACTTCCCACCTCTGACTCTTTTTTCTGTTTTCCCAGGCTATCTTCTCCCTGTTGCAATATTCTCAGAGTACATACCCAGCTGAAGGGGATTGGATGGTAAGCCTGAGAGAAGCTACAGGCCAGGGGCTGAGAGGCTGTCAATTGAGGACAAGGAAGTTCATGGGGACACTGTGATCATAAAGACATAAGACAAAAAAGAAAAAAGAGCTATTAATTGTAAAATTTAAGAATGATAAAGTCGAGACAGGTCAGGTGTTGGAAGCTGCATATGAATTATGGGTTTGTTTGAGCCATCACAAGGCAGGGGTGGCTTTTCTGAGAACTCCTGGTGTGAATCCATTGGCTGCAGATTATTCAGATTARAGCTGACACCCTACCTTAGCTCATAGCCCCAAACAAATTGTTGTTCCCATCTTTATCCTGTTTTCCCAAGAAGCCTGCCACACTGAAACCGTTTGCTTTATTTCCCCTTAAACAATTTGGGCCTTTTTTCTTGTTCCCAGTTCTAGTTCCTATCAGGGCTGGAAGACCCACCAGACACCCAGCTTTTAAAACTATTTTCTATCTGCTGTCTTCTGTTCCTTATTGATTACTTTCAGACTTTCCATTTTCCCAGTTGGTTCACAACTTCAAGCAGGCATCCACTCTGCTAGGGTTGCCAACAAGGGAGAATGCAGCACAAGAGAAGGGGGTAGAGAGAATCAAGGGAATCAGTTGGCAGAAAATGGATAGAGCCAGGCACAGTGGTGCATGCCTATAATCCCATAGACTTTGGAGGTTGAGGAAAAGGGATCACAAGTTCAACACCGACTTCGGCAATTTAGTGAGGCCCTAAGCAACTTAGCCAAACCCTGTCTCAAAATGAAAAATAAAAAGGGCTGGGGATGTGGGTTGGTGGTTAAGTGTCCCTGGGTTCAATTCCTGGTACCAAAAAAAAAAGAAAGTGGATATGGACACAAAATAATGGGGACAGTGGCTTGGCTTGGCTTTAGCCTCTTATTCTTCTTGGTTACTCTAAGTTCATTTCTATGCTCTGCAACAGGTAGAAGTAATATACTCACGGGGGCAAAGACAAAGCCAGGCCGAGGATCTGAAGGTAACTTCTCTTTTCCCTGAAATCAAAGAAATAAAGCTAGGATTGCAGGGCCTATTTTCATGTTTCAATTTCTACACTTGGTGAACTGAGGACTCTTCAACATTCAATTCTAATCACGCCAACTAAGTTCTTGAGTTAAGCTGGCTATATCACTAATGTGCCAAAGAACTCTCTCTCTGCAGCAGTAGAAAGGCATGAACTTGGCACATATTATGGTGCTCTCCCTTGTCAGCAACCTCCACTCTTCAAAAAAATCTTACTTCAGGACAATTAAATTTATGATTACACAGAGGCTCATACTCTCCCACATAGAGACAAGGTTCTTGACTCAGCAATGCTCTAGATTAGGGTGGGGAAATTTTATTTAAAGGGCCAGAGTAGGCAAAATCTATCTCTGTCCCAACTACTCAACTCTGCAATTTGTAGTGTGAGCAGCCACAGATAATACAGACATGAATATGTATGGGCCATAAAAAATAGGCCTTCATCTGCCAACCACTGTCCTATATCATGATGATTTTTTATGTCTAATTTCCTGAGAGTTACCCTTATCAACAGGCGACAGAGTCTCTCTCTTTGTTTTAAAGGTTTCCATTGGCTTTTTTTTTTTTTTAATATCTTTATTTTTATGTGGTGCCGAGGATCGAACCCAGTGCCTCGAATGTGCAAGGCGAGTGCTCTCACTCTGAGCCACAATCCCAGCCCCCAACAGAGTCTCTTTAGTTTTCAAGGAAGTAACAATAATTGGTGACAGCTGGGAACGCGTTAAAGGAAGGGCAAAGAACTTTACCTTAAGGACCAGGTCCCTGGCATCCATAAGAAGGCGGTGCCCAGCTTTTGTTCCATTCTCCAACAATACCTGTTCACCAAATGAGAAAATAAGCAGAAGCCCTGAATCACATGAAAGCATAAATAAACATCAATAGCACTCAAGAGGGCGTAAGGGTCTAAAAGGAACGGGGCATTATACAAAAGATGGGGATGAGACCCTAAAAGAGGGACACATAAATCTATAAAGGGAAGAAATGTTCAAGAATAAAGACAATGAGAGAAGGAAGGCATGAAATCAGGAGAAAGAGGATTTCAACTTACCAGAAAATGGCTTGTCTTACGCCACAAAGTTTGAACCACCTCAGTTCGGTCAGCTTTGCTAGGCAGTTCACTTAGGGCAAAGGCTGATACGACCACGTCAAATTGTACCTGAGGACCAAGACAAGGAACACAACAGACCTGACATTTCCCAATTCTAAGAATACAAGAAGTTCTAGCCCCTATATTTCTTCTACTCCTTCTTTTGTATTCTAATATTCAATTCTGGATGGCAAGACTGAGGCCACAATTTTCTATCTGCCACATTCCATATTTAGAATACCCTAAACACTGCTACTTGCCTTGGGTGACACAGGTAGAAACTGTCTGAAAAAGACACCTGGAACATAAGGCTCTCCTGTTTGTGAACCACCTGTGAAAAAAACAGGAGATGTGGAACTAAGAATGTATATGAATTTACAGCCACAGGTATAAACTGAAGAGATATCCAGAAGAAACACAGCCCCGAGGATAAAGAAAAACACTGAGACTGAGATGCAATATGCTAAGTAAATATTAAAAAGGGTAGGGAAATCATGAGCTCCTTTCACCTGCTAACTTTACCACCCAACCACAATCCTGCAAAGTTCTCTGATACCTTCTGCTTGACTATAATATTGGAAAGAGACCAGATTCATATTRACTCTTAGCCCTCCTCTCTACTTCCCAGTAAAATACTCTTTCTACTAGTCCTTTGCTTCCTTAACTGCCCTGCCCCAACTGTGGAAAAGTCCTACCKTAAAGCTTATTCTCACCTTTCAGTAGCTTTTCTGCCAAATCCAACATGGCAGCTGAACTGTCCACACACATATACTCTCGAAGGCTCTGGCCCCAAGTACTGTGAGCAGCCCTGAGATGGTAAAACAAAACTCAACAATTTTCATGACAAAGAGTCATCCCCTCAAGAGATCCATCTACTTCCAATCCCACCCTTGGGTAAACAGGGTTATGTTAAAGTAGTTAGAAAAACTGTAAGTTATTTTCTTATTTAATGTATAAATCCCGAAAAGAAGGGCAGATTCAAGGGGAGGGAGCAGAGAAGTGCTGGAAGTGATACTGGGTCAAATAATACTGTTATATTATGTGTGTAAAAATATGTAATAAATCCCACCATTATGTATAGCTATAAAGCACCATAAGAAAAGAAAATGGGAGAGTAAAGGGCAAATTTAAATATTTATTTGTTGGCAAAAAATAAAAAATTTATGACTAATATGTAAAACCTATTTCCTATACTAATACCTTTCCTTTTAAAACCTCCTAAATATTGTCTTTTTTCACTTCACATTTAAGTTCTATCCCCAATCTATATACCTTCTTCTGCTTGACCTACTCTGAGGGAAGAAACATTCTAGTTTTGCAAATTTCCTGTTCTCTCTTTGGTTTCCCAGTCTCTTAATAATGAAGCATACAAATATGGCTATCATACATAAAACTGACAAAGACAGGGCTAAAGAAAGTTACTTACCAGGTGACAGAACCAGTACCAGAACCAAAGTCCATCAAGGTTTGTGGCTTGAACTCTGGAATTCGAATCCTGATCTGAAGGAATATATAAGCCCACAGAAGAGTAGTAGAGACTCAAAAGAGTTTTAGAAAATACACATTAAGAGACTATGACAGAGATGTGAGTGTGTTTTAAATTCAATATAAAAATTTTAGAGAATAGCAAGCTCCTAAAACAATGATGCTAAATTTTTCTTGGGTCACAGAATTCTTCCAGAGGATAAATAAGACCTCTTTTAAAAAATGTATATATAAGTCGGGCATGGTGACACATGCCTGTAATCATAGTGGCTTGGGAGGCTGAGGCAGGAGTATTGCAAGTTCAAAGCCAGCCTCAGCAAAAGTAAAGTGATAAGCAACTCAGTGAGACCCTCTCTCTAATAAATATATTTTTAAAAAGGGCTGGGGATGTGGCTCAGTGGTCGAGTGCCATAGTTCAATTCCTGGTCCCTCCCCCGTAACAAAAGCATATATAATGTCCCAAGAATCTCTACTCTACAAGACTACTTTATGAATGTGGGAGCTGATAGTAAAAGGGTTCAGTTTGGAAGTTGAGGGACTTTCACCTCATGGAACGCCCTGGAGACTGCTGCAAAGCCACCATCCAGTCTTGCTGCCATATACACCAGACTCAGTTCCTCATTGTAGCTGTCACAAAAATCAGAGTCAGGGCTGGGGACATAGCTCAGTTGGTAGAGTGCTTGTCTCTCATGCACAAAGCCCTGGGTTCAATCCCCAATACCACAAAAAACAAAACAAAACAAAAACCAGAGTCACACTTA